CGCCGTTCCTTCACCGCTTATGTCCCCGGCTGTGGGCCCACCACCCTCGGGTAAGAAGGATGATTAACGGGATACTTAGTACAGTACTGTCTGCTATTACTGAGAAATCTGGATCGCCCGGAGAGTCAGTTGCCAATAACAGCTCACGTGTGTGAAGAATGAGAGTCAGCAGGCCTAGGTTGTACAATTGCTCACGACCCTTTACATAATAAGCATCATACAACTTGAAGTCAGGCATCTCAGATCAGCTATGGCACCTCAACGCAATGCCGTTCTGCCAACCGCTCTCAAAACACCTGCCGTCCAGAAACTGACTAACAAGCGCGTCATTCTTGCTTCTGCAAGCCCGAGGAGAAAGGAGATACTCCAAACCCTGGTACGAACCCAACCTAGCATTTCTTAAAGTCGACCACTAGATGACATATAGACAGGGCTTAGCACCCGAAATTGTCCCATCGACGTTTGCTGAGGATCTCCCTATCTCTTCCTTCGAGGATATTCACGAATATCCCGTTTCCACTGCGACCCAGAAAGCAGTGGAGGTGTATCAAAGATTACTGGTACGTTCGTTGCTTTCAATTTCACCTATATTTCTACAACTTGTACAAGACAGATGCGCCAGGACGACCCACCAGATCTCGTCATCGGTGGTACGTGCCCTCTGGAAAGCTGCCATCTATGCGACCTAATACTCTATCAGCGGATACCGTCGTCTTCACTCATGCCCTACCATCGACGTCCATTGAGATGGAGACGGGTGTGCGGCAAGAGCTTCTCGAGAAACCATCCTCGAAAGAGGACAACATGCGCATGCTGATGGACCTGAACGGGAGTGTTTGTGAGGTCGTGACGGGCGTTTCACTTGGTATGTGAAAATTCTGATTCTTAGGATTCTTCTGTTCTAATCTCTGATTCAGTATATCCAATCTTGAGCGCTCCTGGATATGAGATCAAGTAGGTTTTTTCTCTTTGAGTATGCCCTATTGACCGAATTGCCGTCACGCACATAGATCTATAGATGAACGGACATTGGTATTCTTCGGGGACAATCCGGACCATCTACTTAAGGCGTATGTCGACAGCGAGGAAGGCCTAGATCGGGCAGGAGGCTTTGCAGTCCAAGTTAGTCTCTCTCGAAGTTGTGCGTAACACGACATTCACGCAGACGACAGGGTCGTGGCAACTTGCTCATTTGCAAGATTGATGGCGACTTTTACAACGTTATGGGTTTTCCTGGGGCGTCATTTTTCAAGCTCCTAGAAATCCTTGTTGAGGAAGACGAAGACTTTCTCGCGATATAAATTCTCGTAAATAGGTAGGATGGTGTACTTCGAGACTCTATAATTGGACAGTAATAGACGACGCGTGGATTTCCCATCTTGATTGCAAGTCTGGAAGCCTCACGAGGAGAACCCATCGAAGGCCATGCGAAGCACATAGCTGGGTGAATCCTTCGTTAATATGAAATGCGCGTGATGACTCGCACTGAAAAACGTTTACATCTAACAAATCCTGCGTCCCTGAAATGCGCATTCACCTTCGATTTGAGTACGCATCTCACATGCGCGAGATTCTGAGTGGATACTTCCTACAAACATAGATGTAAAACTGGTAACAAGTGTAACGAGCGTAGACTCGTGGCCATTTCTTAGACGAAAGCGATTAGAATGTATTCGATGGCATATGTGCTAGATGCCGAGGAGTAGCTTCCCGAGTACTTATGCAGGGCGCCGGGGGGCCGGATCAATCTACGAAGAGGATGCTAGGCGGAATAGACTTTGTTGCTGTTTGATCACGCAGTGGGAAACCTGAAGAGGACATAAGTATGAAACACTCAGTATTGCTAGTGGTCGTCAGCCTAAATGTTGATAATCTTACTACTACATACGTTTCCCTGGAACGGCCCATCATGCATACAAACCACCCCTCACCTCCATACGAAGTCCTTCACCCGTTTCTTGAACCACGCTCTCTCCTCGTGTGTTATATGCTGTCCCCCATGCACATGGAACACCATGAGCGGACGCACACCTTCTAATTCCACATTATCCTCGTCGTTCTTCCCTGGCAAATTATTCTGCTCCGCAGCCCCCTGCCGGCTGGTGATCATCGCCTTCAGTAAAGTCAACGGCACGAAATCGCCGTTGGCTACGAGCTTGAGAGTAGTGACACGGCGCCACAGGGAACAAACATGATCATTGAATGGTGCGCCGAGGAGGTGTAAGATGATCTCTATGCAGGAGGAGTGGCTGTTCGTGATGGTGACTGTATCACCGTCCCACATACGGGCATCGGGTACCCGCCGCGGTTCTTTGCTACCGCACCCGTCCAACTCCAGTGATTTTGATGAGGAAGGTAAGGAAATACTTTGAAGATCATGAACAGAATCGCATTGCTCGATAACGATGGTTTGGCAATCGTCATCAATGGCAGCCAAAGCGTCTATGCTTATGCACAGGATCACTTGCTCTGCCCCTATTTTGACGCCAGCTTTGTTCATGGAGGCCAGACCCGAGTCTGATAATCGCAGGTTGTCGAGGGTGAGGCAAGGTATTCGGCGTGGAACTGCCTCCAACGCTTGACAAAGCGTCACTGCACGTGCGCCATAGATCCGGCCATTGCTACCAGATCCGCATGAAATGGTCATGAACTCAACATGGGTCAAGTTATTCTTCAACCACTGGTGGTCAAGATTGCAAGCTACAATTTTGTCGACACGAAAGATCTTGAGAGCGGGACAGTCAAGTTTCAAACGTGATTTCAAGTCGGTGCAATGATGAATATGTTTCCCATCTGTCAATTGTAAACTCTCGAGCTGGGGCGCATATCCTGTTAGCGTGTCCAAGTGTGGCTGGTGGTGTGCCTCGTAGAAGTTAGCTAGCCTAAGGCTCTTGAGTCGTTGAAAATGCGGTGCAATGTGTTGTAAAATAACACGGATTCCACGTGTGTGACACCACGAGTTGATTATGGTCAAATGGACAGGATAGCTGCCCGATTTCTCCAGCTGTGAGTTTATGCAATGGAGGTCCTGGTCCCCGTGTACGTATACCATCCAAAAGATCCGAGTCCACAGCTCAGGGGCAGAAGACACGATATCTCGCCAACGTTTGCAGACCAATGCCATGGTGTGAGGGAACGGCAGGCCTCCTGCTAGCAGCTGATGCTCCGCTTCAGGAGTTGTCACCATATCATCTTGGACAATGTCTTCCAGAACGGCTTTGAGAATGCCAGACACTGTCTCTGCAGGGAGTGATGAAAAGGAGCACCGTGACATTCTCCTCGCCATTGATTACTAGTGGCTGAAATATTAATGAGATGAGGACTCGTCACTAGAATGATGGACTCACCTCTCCTCAACTGATGGGCAAGACCTATCACTGTAAGGGGCAGAGCAAGAGAAGTTAGGGGTAACACTGGATATTTGATTTTTCAACGTGCCCCAAATAGGTCGCGTGTCGAAGTCGCGCCTTATTTCGTATCTTACTCAATTTTCCTGAGAGGACTATATGGTTTCATACCATTGTTTACAGGTTGCCAGTGGCGTTGCTGCAGAGCGTCGACAACCTATCCATAGACAAGTATGTATGTGTGTAAATTGGACGCCTTCACTGGGCTACTGGTGTGAGCCGTGAGATGTACAAGGCGTCGACTCGTAGTTGCTCATTTTACCTTGGCGCGCTCCTCCGAGTGTGAAGGTTTAAGTCTGAGTGTTTTCTCTTCCGCGTTTTGAGTAAGTGGGAAAAGGACTGCATGACCGTCAACTTTCGGCTCACCTTCAACATTTCTTCAAGGGAGCCACTTGTACTAGGTGCTTCCCCAGCGCCTTGTCGAAAGATATCGGAAGGAGTTCATTTTGTAACTGGGCAAGAGGCGCAAGCTGCGCGTATCGAGTCCCCCGTGGTGCTAGCTGTTCTCAAAGTGCGAGGAGCCGGTCCCAGGAAGATGTATGTATGCCATGTTTATGCTAGTGCAACTAGCGAGAGCACACGCTAGTAAGTTCGAGAACAATACTATATTAAAGATAATCTACCTAGCGACTGATAGGTTAGCATCAGTATGAGTGAGCTGCGAGTAAGAGATATAACATACCTCAGTAAGTTCGAGAACAACACTGAGGTATGCTATGGGACGACGCGAACTAAATACGAGAGACCATGATGTTAGGTAATGATACCGGCGAATGGACGAGCGGATGGTTCGTGTGGTCGAGAAGCAAGAAGGTACAAAGACGGATTGCGTTGCACATGGTGTCGAAGCTGATACTGTCAAGAAGCCTGAAGGTAAATACAAGTCTCAAGGTAAAAGCTGTAAAAGTCGATATACCCTATGCCTTGTCTTCTACAAGCCGTCTATCACTAAAGTGTCAGAACGTTTGCGTGAATCCGCACGGCATAAATCGGTTAATAACTTACCCTTCTTACACACAATTTCTAATTTTCCGACAGCTACTGGCGAAGGTGATAGTCGCAGAAGGAAGGGAGCTGGATTTAGAAGTTGGCGATGAAGTTCTCGCCATGCAGCGCATGCCTAGTCCATGCCTCGTGGTTGAGAACGTCATTCGCCTTGTCCGAACTAGCAATTGTGATATTGTTTACAATGCTCGAATGAAGGACATCCGACCAATGATTGAAGCTTAGATACCACAAGCTTTCTGTAATGCCCTCGTACTTCAAAGAAACAGTTCAAGAAAGTGAGTACTCGCCGCTAGTTTGGGTTGCACACATGCATATTTATTGGCGCAGAGAGCGTAGCTGTGAATGGCCGTGAATGATATGATCAATGTAAAGGTAGAATGCTATGGGAGGAAATTATCGGAGGAGATGGGAGCCGAAGTGAGGAAAATTGGAAGTAAAACAAGCGCAAACAAAAAGCAAGATGGGGCTAGGCGAAGGTGAGATTAAATAACAGATGCGGTATTGCGATGACGGGGAATAATACACAGATTTGGAGCAGAGCAAGGGTCAAGAATATCAACTCGATCGATTGGATAGGTACCAGGATTAACGCCTCCGCATCGTTTTTCCTACTTTGCGCAAAACGGCTGCACAAAGCACGAAAGAGAACATGATCACGTAGGATAGTCGAAACTCGGGTAAAATGCGCAGTTGCACGAGGGGAAAGCTTAGCCCTTCAGAACGTTTAGTCTTTACTTCTGGACGAGGGTGTGCACCAGGATGAGAATAGGGATACAACCATCCCATTGTGCGAGCAATGATTGAGTGCACAAATGATTTCAATCCAAGATGATAACCAAAGAAGACCACGTTGTCCGGAGTAGGGAATGGATCGTGAACAGAAGAATGGTCTGTGGGTTGATCATCGAGCGCTCGTCGAGCTTCTTCAGGACGAAGGTAAACGTGGTTGACAACTTCCTGGGCTGCGACTTGTGCTTCGACAACTTCCAGACGTGCTCGGAAGGCTTCAAGTTGTGTTCGAGTAGATGCGATGGATGCTTCAAGTATCGCAATGACGGTATCATTATCAGAAGGTGCCACAACTTGGTCGGGCGGAAGAGAGACGCCTTCAGCTGACTCGACTGTAGTAACCTCAAGTTCTGCTGCATGAAGAATGCTCACAACCTTCCCTGGATCTAAGTTGGCCTGAGGTAGGTCGTCTACAGGTATGCTGTCCAACGCACTGTCCATCTTGTTGGAGCTTCCGGTAAAGATCGCGGTCACTATTCGCTTCTGAGTATTAGCTCGGCCATTTCCAAGGTCACTGAACTTGCTGAGGTTGTATTCTGCTGCAGACTCGTTTGAGTCGGCATTGATTTCGACCGCAGCTGCCACCCTCGGAGATGTAGATGCCAATGGCAAAGGGGTAGGAGTATTAGCGGGGATCCGCTTGACGGTCTCTCCCAACCCGTAGTCCTCTTCCCAAGCGCGTGCACCTTTTATAGGACCAGGAGACGTTAGGAGGTCCTCGACGGTCGGTTCATCCTCAATCTCCTTGAGCGATGTGTATGGAGGTGGTGGGTTGATTAGACGGATCGTCGAATTTAAGAGGGCAGGAGGAACAGGTGACCCAGGGGACGGAATGTCACTGTCGCTATCGGCATCACTGCCGCTCATGGAGCCTTCGCTCCCACTGACGGCGCCTCTTTCGCGCTCCCAAGTGTCGACGAGACCCTTAACCTGTCCACGTCTCCTAACTCGCATACGTGCAAGGTCTCTGTACCTCTGCGCTGAGGAGTCTGAAACAGAGTTGGAGCGAATCAAGGTTACGGCTGGGGATGGCGGAAGGTCTCCATCGGTTCCTATGGAGGCAGATGGCGGGAGGATTAGATCCACCGATGAAGTGGAAAAATTGTACAGATCACAGTTGAAAGGCGAATTCGAGCTGCGTATGGGTCGTGTATGAACACCCTTTGAGTGTGCAGATATGTCTTTAGAATGGTATGAGTCCACCCATATGCGACCGCGGAGAACATCTGCGCGCAAGGCGCGGGAAGCTTCGAGCAGATAAAGTCGTTGACCAGGTGTCAGAGACAGGCTATAAACACAAGATAATTGTCAGATGGTCTTTTGCATTGGTATAACACTAAATGACGTGAACATACAACTTACCTAGCGAGGTCAGCGTCAGTTAATCTCAAAAAATTCCTACCGGTAATAGTTTGTTCTTTGATCATACAAAGAAGTTGTCCCTGGTCTTCGGTACTCAACTCGCTGCCTGCCCGGAGTGAAGTGGCAAGATGTGAAACGAGGTCGTCAGTAGACCAGTGCTTGGGATTGCGAGGCAGATTATTGTCCTCTGTAACAGTATTGTTATTAAGAGCAGACACACTGGCGGAGGGTGGTAGCGTGCCTGCACGCTTCAGTCTGCGAGAAGGTGTTGCGTCATCACTGAGAGAGAAAGATGCACGTGTTGGAGGGATAGAATGAAAGGAAGGGGGGACAGGCAACGGAGAAGGTCGAGGAATTTCATTGACGCTCGCACCTTCAGCGGACGAAAGGGAAAACGCGTGACAATGCCTTGGGCGAGTTGGCGATGGGGGAACATAATGGTGTTTGACTGAGGGTGATGAGTGCGGCGATAAGTTCGAACGTGAAAGAACAGCAGAGGACGTCGTCTTGATTGCATACGGATGTGCATTTGATAAGACTGTAGGGTGCTTCTTGCTCGGCATTGCCACTGTCGGCAGACTAGAAGACGTAGTCGTGTTCGTCATCGTGGACGACGGCGACGACGACGGTGTCTGAACAAATTCCCTACAAACAAACGTGAGAAGTCTTCAAATTCATTCAATGACTTACTAAAGTCACTACTACCGTAAAAATTACTACTGCCATTAATTCCTTCAGCCACTTTGTCGAGAGAGAGCCCATACGACGGAGTTGCAAGGTTGAAAACGTTGAAGCTTTGAAGGACGACAACTGATACTAGCTATCCAACACGACCCCTGTAACATATGTTCAAATATGATCGATCGTCTTCAGTGTTCACATCCTCCCGGCATCAATTTCAATTGTCTTATCAATTGAGCTATGGCCTTGGCTACAAACGACATGTAATGTTGCGCTACTTCAAGTTCTTTTTTTGCAAGGCTCACTATAGCACGTTCTGTAACCTCCACAAGACCAATAATACTGGTGCCAATGCATCAAAGGCACCTCTCCATAACTCTCCTTTCTCCGTCAAGCTGAAGTCCGCCCCAAAATGTGTTCACCAATCTTAAGCTTCATCAGGTACGAGTCCAATTGTCAGGCCATTGTCCAGTCTGTGTGATGCCATGAACTCATCGTTGAACCTCTTTGCTGGCCGGGCTGCGTTCATCCTTACTTCGTGTACTGTTGTCTTCAATACCGTCCCTCTGGGTGCTAGTTGATTGTGTTAGCTGACGCTCTCCTCAGTTCCATGTTGTTCCCAGCGCTTATATTCGCAATTCCCCCTCTCAACCTACCTTCCATGACCCTGCAATGAGTGTCTTGGTGGTCATTGGTCATGTTTGTGCGCACTTCACCTCGCTCGCTCGCAAGTCCATAACATTATTGTTCTTCGCGTTGCTGATGTACACAGGCGTTGTTCACTCCGTGCTTGCCGCAGCTGTCTCGAGCACCGTCATTCCTGCGTCCGCAACAACGCCGTATTTACCGTGTACACTATCTACTGCGAATATGAACTCCTCATCCCAGATGCCCCCGAGCTCATGCAGACTTTCATTGCTGCAGAGTCTGACGCGACGTGCAAGCGTAACGCATCTGTGTTCCTTGCCGCTCACGCATTGCACGATGCCTAAAGTTATGGGATGGTTGATGAGCGTGTATGATCAGCTGACGAGTCTAGATGAGCTCTTGCAGATGAGCATCATAGAAGTCACCAGGTTGAATTGTAAGAATGACACGACGCACTGAGTAAGTCCTTTCATTTAAGCCATTTTGTTTATCCTCATTTTTGTCGTCTTGCAGCCCCGATAAGTCAGATGCATGTTTAAATTGTTGATTTCATCGTCACCTGCAGTAAAGTATGAAGCTGCTACGACGCTCACTACACTCACGCAAACCCCGCTGCTGTGAAAGGTATGTTTACGATCAGGTCCTGTACGCATATCTGCTCACCTTCGTAATTAGCAGCTGCCTCGTGCTTTATTAATCTGGTCATCAAAGAATCCGACAACGTTAAGCTCGCTGTCCTGAATCGCCTGGATACCCTACGCTCCAAGCATGGTTACATTCTGGATGGACTGACAATGGACCTCTTGCAGGTCTTGTCGAGGTATTGATCAATCACTAGCTGAAAATAGTACTGAATCCTATCGTATCAGCGTCTGGGCGAGTATGTCGAAGGTCTGTCAGGTATTCAAACCACACATTCCGGGACATCCGCAAAGTGCTTGGCGAGATCCCTATTTTTGCAAGTGAGCAGCGCTTACTGGACCGTGGACGAGGCTGACGGAGAGGAGGACAATAAAGGTCGAGGGAAGGGGGCGGCCAAAGGTACTTGCTGACGGGACATATGCGACGGAGACGGCGTACACCAGTACCAACTCGGCGAGATTAGCCCAGGCTGCGTTCAAGCTGCCATCAAGAGGTGCGTGGTGTGCACATTTATGTCGTTCGGAACTAAGCTTCTTAGAAAGCATGAGGACAGTAAAGGTGGAGATCAAGAGATCAGCTGGTGAGTTATGCCTCGCGGCAATCTTCCCCCTTTTTCCTCTTGTGTGCTGCAAGGCCGCTATTTTGAATGCAGTTGGTCATCATTTACCAAGTATAATGCAGGGCCCCTGCCAGGCATACTTCCCATGTCTTGATGTCCTCTATCAATGCACAACTTTTATAACTCCGAGCTTAACGAGAACATCTGGGCGCAAGATGGACTTCGAATTCCGACACTTTGGAGACTACTGCTTGGACATGTGAATTGTGCAAAACTTGTTTCACATTCCCCATTCTTCTCCCGTGTAGCTTCGCAGTCTCGGCCTCCGATTCCTTACCAAAGCTTTTTCATGGTGTGGCTGTAAAAGACTGCGTAACAGCACGTGCCACTTGACCCCATTGAAGGCGCATACCAACAAGTCAATGATATCAAAACTTTATCTCCGTGACATGTGGAAGGTGCCAGGGACTATGATAGAACATGATGGTCTAATCCCGCCGACTTCAATGCCCACCTGTTGAAAGCTTGAACCGGACCTGATGACTTCGGATTTCCTCACCATACGAAGTGGAAGCCCAATGGTCCATGTGCCCTTACTACAGACACAGGAACGCCAGTCTAGGCCATATGCCAGCATACGCGATCTGTTGGATCATGACAGCAAGTTTGGTTGCTATGCTTTGGTCTTTTGTTTATTACTTTCGCCTTGGCCTTGGCCTTGATTGCTATGCCAATACGTCGGTCCTGTCTCTGATGGAAGACTACTCAGGCAACGGAGCACGAGGCGCATCGAGATCGAATAACGCAAGGACGAGAGTGTGATAAGAACAACCCCCATCTCGCACTTACAGATGCGGGTCGTACCTGACTGTCCAGACTCCAGAGGTGTCCGCGGCTGTACGTTGGACCAAATGCAATGCGGACAGTCGGAAAGCAGAAACTGTTTATGAACTACACCATTCGCTCAATTTTTTCGCAGCCGCACCTCGAGGTGGTCGGTTATGTTAACGATGTCTCATAGATATTCTCGTCCTCTACACCCCCTTGTCATTCGCTTGACATGCAGTATTGTTCGTCAGAATATCAGTCAAACCGGAAGCGAAGTCTACAAGAAGACATGACATTGAAACTTCTATCAGTATTCCGCAGCTGTAAATTATATAGCAAGGTATGATGCACGCAGGGTATCTCGATCAGGAACCCCAGTTTACCTTATTACCCGAACTCCGTGCATGTGCATGGTGATGGTCCAAGGACTAATCAGAGTCTAAAGTGAACCAGTCATGAAATAGAGATTAATAGTCGCTCAAGATGTCAACAAGGAAAACACACCCTATGGCTATCATGAGAACGAACCCAACGGTAGCGACGACCTAGACGTGCGTTACCGAGTAAGCATGCGTGTTGAGTTGTAAGGTATACCACGTACTAGGGTGGCGACAATACTGGCGGGCACACCATTCTTCAAGAAGTCCATATTAGTGAGATAAAGGCGTCCAAGCTCATCCTCTTGAGCAGCGCTGATCATTCAGAAAGCGTCAGGTTCGACTCGTAGTGGTTGTGTGACGGACATACGCAGTTTGATTAGGAAACCCAGAAACAGGCATACCCATTCCAACAGAGCAAAGAAGACCAGTCATAAAAATGAGCAGATTTGCATGGTCACCGGGTAAGCTTTCTCCGACCTCTTTCGCGATGGGAACCAGTAGCACGCTTGCAATCGTATGACTGATAAATGTTGATACGATCTGAAAGAAGTTTGAGCAAACTGCAAACACCACAACAAGTGACCACAAACCAAAACGACTGGGGAGAGGACAAGAACGACAGTGTACAAGGAGAGACCCTCGAGCAGGCGATGGATCATCCTATCCATAGTCACCATCAAACCACTAGAAGTAACACCTTTGCCAAGGGCAATTCCGCCCATTGCGAGGAAAACAATTGTCCAAGCGAATTGCTCAAAGTCGTCCTTGAGAACACGTGAGTTAGTATCAATGTCACCGATATATTCAGCACACACCTTTTTCAGCACACCAGTGGCAAAAAAGGCGACGATCGGGATGATAGCAATAACACCCATATCTCCCACAAGATCCTCGATCTTGTGCTCAAAACACCAGAGAGTAATCGTGAATAAGCAGACGAACGTAACCCAATACTGCTTGAGGGTGAAGGATTCCCTTGTTGGGCGGATAGTCCGTATTTCAATCTCTCCTTCCCCGTCAGGCGAACGGGCAGGGCGGTACATCACAAGCAATAGCAGCCAGATGAGCAAGATAGAGATTATGGACACCGGAAGTGCCACAGCAAACCAACTCGCCCAATCGAGTTTAGGATCCATCGCCGCGAGGGCAATCAGATTCTGTGGAGACGATATTGGGGAGCTCTGGCCACCTATGTTAGCGGCCAAGGCGATAGCGAGCTGTAGGGTTCATGAGTGGTTGCTCCCGCACATGGTAAATAACAAACTATTAGTGCTGGCGCAAAAGCCGAACCAGGGGGCAGCGTTCTCAGGATCGGCTGAAGACAGTAAAAATCAGATAATTGTTGCTGCGGACATAGGACGCATATCATTTACTCGGATGAGAGTGAAGCACAATGTTGGAGCTGCAACATTACTGAAACACGTTAGCGACACGTGAGTGGCGGGAATAAACGTGGCCTACCTGATCCACATACTCGCAAAACAGGAAACACCCATGAAGGCAAGAAGCACGGAACTAGGTTTTGAACCCGCCAAGCTCAGGACTCTCGTAATTAAAATCCGATCTATGTTGGTTTTGCTCAAAGCCGATGAAATTGTGAATCCTCCGATCAGAAGCATGATTGTGGGCGAGAACATAACAGAGAATATATACCTGGATCGTGTACTCAGTATCTCCGAGAGGGTAATTTCAGACAACTTACTTTGTTGCATCAGGCGTAGACAAGGCTGTGTCATTGTCATCGCGTATAACCCGTAAGCATACCAACAGGAGGGGGACGCAAAGCGATGTCACGAACAACGGTATCGCCTAAATACGAAGGTAAGTAAGAAATGGAAGCTGGGGCACATTTCGCACCTCTGTTGCCCACAATATAGTGCTGAATGCAAGTATGGCAAAACACTTATTGGCCTCTTCACCAACAACGATGTCCATCTTCAGTAAGGCGATGAACACAACTAGAGCAACAGTGAGTGACACCCTCTTCTTTGTCAACTTCAGACTTCCGAGAGGAGTCGGGACATTGATAAGGCTGCTTTCTTCCTGTTGCACCAGCGTAGCGCCCATGAGAGCACCTAATCCATTCATAGTACCGTGTCGTTGTTGCCCGATCATCTGACGCCAGACTGTATTCCGCTCCCATGCAATGTGTTCGCGCTGGTATAGTTTCAGCTGCTGCTGTGCTGTTGACTTGTCTCCATTTGTCACGCATTTGGTATAGAGCTCGGTGAGTCGGGAGATGGCATCTGACATTCTGGCTTTCGACTCTTCTGTAAAGGGTGCAGAGGTCTCTACAACTTCGTGCATGTAACGGTCTTTGAGCTGAAGGAAATGATAAGCTATGAATGAACGAGGTACGACAAAATTCTAGATACTTCGCCATACACGACTTTGTCATACCTGAAGAAACCCCTTCAACAAATATTGCGCGAACCAGATAGAACCAACTCACTTTTTCAGAATCTTGCCAAAGCCAGAGTAATTGACTTCCACATAAGATCTCAGTGAGGATAAAGTGATGTAAAGGTTGGTAATTTTTCGCTTGAAGAGTAGCCGGGTATCCAAGGCATAGCTGCCCTTTGCGGTCCAGATGGTATCTCCAGTAGATGTTGTGTTATCCTTCACAGTCCTCAGCCGGCTACCCAGGCTACGAGCTCTCCCTGTCGGCGACATGCTACTGCTTGCATGACGCGAACCAGATACAACCCGTGAGGCCGACCGTGGGCGCGGGGCAACGGATAAGACACTTGCATCTAGATCTCCCGCCTCGCTAGAAGAGACGCTAAAGCGGCGATTTGTGGATTCCTCGCGAATAGAACCTGCTCAACGAGCGTTAGCTGGACATGACAAGGTATTGCAAGGCAGACCTGTTGCAAAACGCGTTCCATAACCGACGGAGGTAGATTTGTGGCGCCTGCGTCGGGACCTTTTGCCGTAGTCTTCAGATCGGGATAACATGTTGTATTCATCTTCCTCATCTTCTTCTTCGTCTTCTTCATCTTCATCTATATAGTCGAGCCCTGCCTCAAGCCCAGCCTCGTCTTGCTGCGTGATAGATTGCTCCAACACCGCGAGTTCATTCAGCAGCTCTTGTTCCTGCGCTTCGTAAAACCTCACAATCTTCTGCAGCTCTTTGTCGAGTAGTGGCTTAAAGAGGCTGTCTGCGCCAGGCGTATTACTGTGGTCGACAAGGGTTGTTTGTTCATTGGCCTCCAAGTCACTATAAGACGGTTCTATACCATCTGGCCGTTGCTGTCGCTTCTCCAGCTGATAAATGTACCGCTTGAGCACATCATAGCTTCAAGATACATTAAGAACATGTGTATTTGAATAAGACGGATCAAACGTACGCGATGTATTCCTCCCACCAATCTGCGACAGCATTGAACTTTAATGCCGAGCTGGCAGAGCCTCACCAAATTGTTGTTTTACAATTCGAGAATGGTGCACACCTGAATTTCATTGCAAATGCCTGAAGAGCCACACCACTCAACGTCGAGGGTGCGAGTGACCTAAGCGGAATTTCTTCTGGCTCCGTTGATATAAATCCCACACTGGCCCAAAGCCCAGTGTCCAGACACTATGGCTAGAACTTAGATAGCCGCTAAAATAGACAGCCGCTAAAGGGGAGTCTAGTTGAAGCTAGGTGCAGCAGTACTAGTGCTGTGTTGATGCCTTCGTTGATGAGTGCAGCTAGATACATGCTTGCCAAAAATAGCAACACTGTCGTGTGAGCGGGAATTCCCGGCCTGTTCGTTCAACAGCGCAATGGACGCTCAAATGTAAACGTGCATCGCGCATTCCATGTGTATGCTAAGCCCACGCGTTGAACACATACAGGCTCGGCATCTACATCATCCAGACGCGCACGGCGCCAAATTCCAATCTCACCAAGTGTTAGCGCGTTTGGATTCTTCGCAGTACTGAGCTCCTGAGGACCCGAATGTGGAGCCAGGTGGTGTTCAAACTTTGCCCCGATGCCCTCATCCCGATTCCCGAAATAATATATGCGTGCTTCTTCGGGTGACGGTACAGAGGTGGCAAAACACTCGTCACCGTGCTTCGAAGGCCCAACTTGTCAATGTCGGTCCGAGAGTTAAGGAGGAGCCGAAACTATCGCATTTGCATTGTACCCTCGAAGACTGAGATCAAATTGACGCATTCAGACAATAGATTTCCTGGTCTGTGCCTCGCTTCATCATATACCTAAGTAACCTAACTGCCTTCGGCTTTATCTTACGCGATACTTTCGGTCAATGTCCACTGTCTCCTTTGAGATTGGACCCATGTTCCTCTGCTCACTCGGTGATCAATTGATAATGATTGCTATATTGCAGACTAGACGATGAGCATCTTGCGCCCTCAGGTAGTCATACCGGCAACTTCCGTCCAGATGCCGATTCTTTTTACGTTGGTAAAGCTGTTAAAAATGTTTCATGGCCGCATGTAAACTGGGCAGCTATACGTACCCAAGCTACAGCTGATCATTTCTCCGGTGCTGCGATTCAGTAGCACCGCAACTTAGCTTCAAATATGAATGGAGAGCCGAGGCACGTGAAATCTCCTATTATGTCTCTCCCGTCTTAGATATAGTTTGGTGGGCGTTTCTAACTACGCAAAACAGGTGCTATCGATATCATATCTCTCATAGCAGAGCCGACACCTATCGCGCGTCTAGCATTTGATCTCGAGGTACGTCTACTCCATTTTCTCTGCACCGCATGATCGAATTATAGATCTTCGAGGATATAACCGACGTGACTAATACAGAGGCGCAGATCTACAATCGTTCGTCTTTCCATGGTCCGTGAGTGCGCAGGCGCGGGCGGTGCATCTCGAAGCATGTGATCAAACTTCCTGAACATATTGCAATCAGGGACCTGGCCAGTTCTCCCTGACTCCCTGAGCCAAGCCAATGAAGCAAGACATCTTAGTCGTGTTTCACGCATGTTCAACAGTTCTAAGTTGGGTGTGCCATATTTTTATCAATCAGCCATCGAACGTATTGTTCAGCTCTAAATAGTCTTCTCAGGCGATCCACTTCAGGCTACAGAACTGCCTGACTGTTGTCGCACCGCAGTAGCAGGTCCCTGACACAACGTCAAACTTGGCCTTCCTAATCCACGCTTTTGAAATGGCACCTGCGCATGATCCCGGTGTCTATGTCTCCTCTTTTGCTTCCTCCTGTGAACACAGTTTCCCCACTAAGACCCCTGTTCTCCCGCTTCGGCCGCCACATACCAGGATGCGTTCCATTAGAATTCCAAATTGCAACCATGTCATTTGCCTGGGCAACCAGTAGTCCGGTATCAGTCCCGCTGGACTCAGGCCCCCACACGAGTCTTGTCGGACAATGTCAATTTGACAGCCGCGAAAAGCCCGGCTGCTTACGCGGCTTACATTTCATCAGCCATGCGGTCACTCAAGAATCTCGTGTTGTTCCTTCGATACCATCCAGTCTCCTTATTTTGGATGTAAATACACATGATCCAGCAAGCAAGTGATCGTGGAGAACGAGAAGATTAAGATAGATTAAGATGTGTCATCCAGGTCGACCCCGTGAATCTGTCATGTCTATTTCATTGCGTTCGATGTCCCAATAGGGTTTCTTCTTCAACATCCAGCATCTTCACAGATGTTATGTTCCGACATCAGAATGTTCAGCCCCCCGAGACTCCACGTTGAAATCGGGCGTGAACCTAGGAGTTATGTAAATCTTTGTTTGCTCGAACTGAAGCAAGCTGAAGAGTGGTTCAAGACCGCGCATGCTATCAAAGTAAAATTATTATACGTGACCCTGGTATATTACAACTAAATCAATGCAGCTTGAATCCATGCGACGATAGCAAACATGACAGTATAAAATCAAATACGGAAGATGATTAAGGCCGACAGTGCGGACGAACGTGAATATGTACGACCATGAGGGAAAGAAAACTATGAATGAATCGATATCAAACTCACTACCACGGACGATGTGGCCCTCGTGCTGACGAATCAGATTCAGCCTCGTCATCATCGCAAGAATGGCGACAGGCGGATAGCCGAGGGTCAACCCCAACAGCTGACTTGCGGCTGTACCTCTGCGCATCAGGAGGCGATGGCAGCCGCGATGTGTCATAGCCTGGGTGCGCGCGCTGTTTCCCGGGTGACAACTGGTCAACATGTCTCGATTTATACGACGAGACTTCGGCAGAACGTGGTGTTGTAGGCGATACAGGAGATGCGCCATCAACGGAGCTTCCATCGTGAGATGAATGATAGCTTTGGCTGAGCTCCGGCGAATGTGGCGTTCGATAAGTTTCCGCGCAGAAGGGCCCCTCCAAGGAGGAACGATGGGTGCCTGATGATCCGCGTTTCGGCCATGAACTTGGCGGATAGGATTGTGGTAGTCTGATAAAAAAAGGGTCATTATTATTGTGAGTCATGCAGGTACGAAAAATAATTACCGCTGATGTGATGTAGACGCTGATCTTTGCCTTGGCCACTGAGTGACCTCGTGTCTGGCATCCGCGGCATACTCGTCATCCATCTTCAAACGTTCCAGCACAGCTGCAGAGTCGTGCGTAGAAATTCCTCGCAAGTCTTCGAGCGCAGAGATGGGAGGCAATGCATATGATGTAGTGTTAATATGCCTTGGAGGGGCCAAAGGTTGGATCGGAGGCAGCACAATTTGGTCTCCGGGGAACTTGCCATTTCGATTATCATAATGCATATCCTGTAGAGAAATTGAAGGAATGTCTAGGGAAACCGAGTCACTGGTTGCAATCGAAGGTTTGCGAGAAGGTGGAGCAGGGTAAGGGGAATATCGCGACCGCGCTGAGCGCTCGCGCATGATCGGAGATGCAGAAGAAGAGATATGCAGGGGCGGACTTGTGGGTTGCGGATGGGAGTAAGATGGCGGGTCTCTGTACATCATCGATGGAAGGGAAGCTGGTTGTCCTTGGGGCAGATAATGCGCTGATGGAATGGCATGAACACTTGGCCCTGCAGCGGGGATGGCCCATGATGATTGCGAATCGCGAGGAACAGGTGGCGCAGGTGCGACCACTTGGTTGTTCCGGCGTGATCGTCTCCGGCCGGATGCAGTGGATACTACTTGACCATAACCTGGTTGGTCTGGGGAGAGGCATGTGCTTGGGAATGTGGGCCTATTAAAAAATAAGTCAGCTATCCTAGGGTAGCAGTGCAAAAAAATGTACCCGAAAAGAGGTACCAGATCTTCACGAATTGGCCAACCCACTCTGGAATCGAAATCAATAGCTGCTCGTAGCTGCAAAGGTCGCGAACTCACCGTCGTGAAAGGCGGAGGGCAACCTAATATGGAGTGAGCGGTGCTGTATATAGGAAACGGAAATGCGCACCTCGTAAGGCATCCATGTTCCTTGAATTTTTAAATATCCTCCCCGTACACGGCGGATAACGGGGGCTAAGTCAGGCTGTGAATCGATCATTTTTACAATGTCGGCTTGGATGGATGTGAGACACAAGCTGGACGCGAAGTAGGATGGTGTGCTCACCCTTTGAATTGCCAAGCGCTGAGATGGGTGAATAATTGAATTACGATGCGAGTGTGAATGTCTCACCTTTCCAAATGCCCGTCCAGAGAATGTAACCATCATCAATGTCCATCATAATCCATTGACCGTTTAGCGGGTATTCATATACAGGACTGAGGAGATGGATGAGTGGGTCGCTGTGTGAGGCCAGGTGGAAGGAGAGCTCACATGTAACCTCTTGGGTCATTACTTGTGATATAGCGACCTTTGCTGACTTGGTGGTTTGGACTTGCGTACGGACGAAATCGGGGACCTTGTTGAGGCATTGAAGGAGGAGATGCCATGAGGAAGTAAAATAAAAAATGGAAGAGTAGGGAGTTGTTATAAGTTATGTCTGCGGATGATGATGAGTCAGAATTGAATTGATGGAAGTGATGATAATAATTGGGATTCCGGCCACGTCGTTAGTATCTAAGTAAATGGCATCGACGCTAGTAGTTGACATATATACCTAGATAGCATTACATGAATGCCGTATATAGGCCTGTTACATGCGTTGACCGGCCCAAGCAATCGCGCGAGGCACGCTTCCCCGACGGCAACCCTCGGCACCGGCAAGTTCAAAAAAAAACGATCATGACCAAATTTAGAATCAGAACCCTTCGCATCTTCGAGAAAGAATTCTTCTAATAAACACCTTTGCAATTGCTACATGTACATATTATGTGGCTGGCTGGTTGGCTGGCTGGCAATGACATTTCCTGTGACACGCTTCCGTGGGTCAACCGTCGCCTATCACGAGGAGACGGCACTAATAATCTGTCACACACTCTGCTTGTCAACTAAACGGCCGCATCAATCGTGTTATGGAGGGAGTAAGTGCTGCCGGAAGGCACATTTGACGAAAAGACAACCGAACAAGGTTTGTACACTCTTCCGGCAGAAGCGTTCACCCATGATTTTCATGGAGACACTGCGGACAAATAACCCCAATTTAGGATGCAATGAGCGTCGAGGCCTCTCCATGCGATACTCGCGTCATGTTTGACCAGTGACTCACATGGACTCTCAACCAGGCCGCCATCAGAATCCCACTCGCTCGCTCCCTTCGAGACACCTTTTTCTATTTATTTTTACATAAAATGAGCCCACCCTCGGAAACGTACTACATAATCCCCGACTATTCCTATTTGAATATAATTCTTGCTGACAAATGATTTTAAATGGACCTGAATCAATGAACTCTCCCTCGGTCGAGGTTACTCCTCATCTTGTTATGAGAGCAATATATCCTTATTTGGAAGCGAGCTTCGATCAGCTCATGGGTGCCTCAGAAGGGCGAAGCGTCGATCACAAATTGGTAAACCTCGATTGCCTCGATACCTTCCGGATTCTTCCTCATTAGTATTTTTTGATCCAGCGAAACCAGGTGAAACCCCGGAACAACGACCCGGCATCCTGCCATTTGCCCTTCGGTACCGAAAACACACGCAAAAATAAATCTGACATTATGAGGCACCATCGCACGAATCTACTCCTCATACGGACTCTTTTTCACGTCGACTACCATCACCTCGTCATCAAACACAGGTCCATTTACATTGCCACCTTTACCTTATATATGCATATGCATTCTAACAAGGTCCACCGCCGTGTCCATATCCCTTGGCAGCAAAATTCCACAGTGCCCGCCGGGTCTCGTCTCCACCACCTTTGCTGGTAGTATAGATCACGTTGCTGAACTTGAATCCGTTGAACTGGCTCGCAGCGCATATAGTGTATGCGCCCATGTTGTCGAACCCAAGCCAGTCTCCAATTTGAAGCGCGCTTGGCAATTCAACTGCCTTGCACACGCAGTCAATAGAGTCACACGTCGGCCCCCATACGCTGCAGAGTGACAAAGCCTCCGAGGGAGAGATGTGGAATGACCCGTTAAGGGAAAGAACGTAGGGGTTCACGGTCTGGTGATCAAACATGATGCAGTTGAACGCCCCGTACACGCCATCATTGATGTAGTCTGCCCCACCAGTGTAAGTTTAGTCACAGTATGAGAATGCCATACACATACACATGACACTTGGTTCATCCGAACTTGGCTTCGCATTCAAGGGCTCTAGAGAACTCTCTATCATTGGCGCCCTGCGTGCGATGATGTTCGCAGCAAGACTGAACGCTCTGGATACATAGAAACGGCCAGGCTCGGCAATTAGCCTGATACCTTTACGGTCAGGAAAGTATTGATTAATGGCGTCGGTCAAAACAGATGCAGCGGCTTCAAATCGTGCATCTTCAAAGCCACCGCCGACATCTAGCAGGCTGAATTGATAGCCAGCTTGAGACCCCATGATGAAAACGTCCCGGGCGCGCCTAATGGCATCCCCGTAGGTGGTTGGGTCATAGCAGCCACTTCCAACGTGGAAACTGACCCCAATCACGTCTAGCCCGAGTTCCTTAGCCTTCGACAAGAGGCCGGGAACAGCCTCAAGGGGTGCTCCAAATTTGATACCGAACCGACAGATACTTTTGGAATCATCCGCGAGAATACGAACGATAAGTTTGGCACCCGGATGGGCGCGCGCAATTTTGTACAATTCATCTTCATTGTCGAACGTCATAGTGTTGACACCGGCTCTTGCAGCGCTCCGCACGAAAGACGTGGCTTTACAAGGGTTGGCAAAGATGATCCTCGATGGATCGACACCGCCAATGCTGAGGACCTGGGAGATTTCCCCGTTGGATGCGCAGTCAAAGCCAGCCCCTAAAGCAGCGAGAAGCCTTATAACGTATGGATCCGGGTTACACTTGACCGCTAAGGACTGGGTCAGAAGTTACAGGAATCATCCCAGGCGAGTTACAGACCGTAATGTGGGACAATCTCTGGGAGATTCTTCACCCATCGCTCATGTTGGCGATAGACTTGGCTGAGATCAGCCACGAAAAAGGCTCTTTCTGCATCAACCTCGTTCGCCCCAGCCCGCATTGCGGCATCTATGATGCCTTTGCGGAGATGGATTTCCGGGTGTCCCCTAAACAGCGGGGGCAGAGAAGAAAATATTTTGTCATCATCTAGCCGGTTCTCTCCTGCGGTGTCATTGGTTGCTACGTCAATCAATGGTGACAGATCCTGAACCACGGGGTCGAAAGAGGCGTCTAAATTTCCAGGGAAATTTTGGAAGTTGCGTGAAATGAAGTGGTCGAGTGGGTTCAAAGCAGAAAGAATTTCAACCTGAGCCATCGGGAGATGGTCCGCGGATGATAGAACTAGGTGATCGGACTTGTCAATAACGGAGTTTTGAGCGCAGCCGGTGTGGATGGCTGGAGTTCTTTTCAAAACCTCGAATTACCGAACCAGAACCGCTGGTCTCAGAGGAACCACGGGCTAGTACGGCAGTAAAGGGTCTCTTCAGTAAGTGATGGGTTCCTCGCTCCCTGTCCAGCGAGGAAAAGGCTTGAAGGGTAAGGTAATAATAAAAAAGTCAATCGAAAAGGAAACTGGGACGAGAGTGGAAAAAATGAGGTAGGCGAAGGAAGGAAGAGGGTCCTGTCAAGGAGGTTCGCCTGAACCGAGGTTTAAAATCAAAACGCCACCACAGCATGGAGCTTTTAGCTTACCACGAACGGACGACCACCTGGCAATGCGGTGGAGAGTTAGTATTGGATGTTATATTAGGATACAATAGAAAAATGAAGGACGTACTCGAGGGTCAAGAGGCGGAGATCACTATTCCTTTCCTGATCAGTAATGATGATACCGAGAGTCTCTGGAGTCGCTATTACGACGACTACAGCGAAGATACGCGATTTGCTGTTGGCAAAGGCTGATTTGCGGTTGGTCTATAAAATTGCCAATGACTGGTTGAATCGAGAGAATTGTTGGATGATCCATTGGAAGTTCTGGTGTACCTAAATTATTACGTAATGCTTGCGCTGTGTTCTTGTTGGCGCGTGACGTAGTTCAATTTTGTCATAACACCGCTGCTGCGTTTTCATACTCCAGCTTCTTCGAGGACCTTCTATTGCAAGATCACAATAGATTTGCGTCTTAGAAGCATTCCTCGGTGGAAAATTTACATAGGGTTATCACGTTGGTCGGTTGTTCGGACTTGGTATAATTCAATTTTAGTAATTACTGATCTAAAGTCCGAATAGATCGAAGAGCACATGCATTTCGACGATTTACTGCGTTACACTAGCGTGGAGCTTGTGGCGCACCCTAGTACTAGTAGTCATCTACTAGGATGGAACCTAGATTCACACTAGCCAGAACCCCAGAGAGAAGAAGGATATAAACAGGTGTGTTCCTTGCTTTCCGTCGAAAACGCTTCTTCGCCGCGTGTTCTTGTCGCCTTGGTCCGTTATAGCTGAGATCAGTATGGATCTCGCTTCCTCTTCCCTCTATTGACGGAACGCGAGGTAACCAAAGATAAGTTTCTCCCCACGATTATAAAACTACGCCCTCCTCGGCGAGCTGCCATTGCAGGGCAGCGTGAGCTCTCGTGAACTCCATTCCCCGATCGGGAGGCGATGACACCCCTCCTCAGCTATTACGGTCTTCTATTTGAGACCATTCCCATGACCCCCACCGGCTCCTGTGCAACATGGTATAATTGTCAGAATGTCCCCGTTTGAGACTGAACCTTGATTCTGACATGTCCATACCAAGTAGTTCTTTCTGCTGAGTCACGTCATTTCCTGTTTCTCCCATCTTGGGTGTGATGCTATGCACAGCAACGAACGGAGCTTGTCCTTAGAAATGCCTTCAGAAGGCTGCATCGGTTCCCTTCGCGAGCCTCGTTGTTGGCGGGAAGGAACGTGGTCGCGTCATTGCCCCAAAATCCCCATCTGGCGTATTTGCCAAAGTCATCTTAGCGCAAGCAACGGACCGATGTCTCGACCCACATGCTTTTAGGTTAAAAGGCGCCGTCCTTAAGACTTCGTAGGAATCGTCCAGACAAACAAATAACATCGTTTTGGGCAATGCGCCACCTTGTGCAGCGAGGGAGAGGGAATGCTTCGGTTAGCGTAGTGTGTCCCCAGGGTACACAGCCGACACAAACCCGGGTCGAGGTCGTTTAACGGAGCCGTATAGCCATAGCGATTATGTCCATTGCATGTGTTAGTCTGCATCGGTAATTCTCGACCGCAAATGAAATCAAAGGGGGTGACCACTATCTACGCAGGAACCCTGCGATGGAGATTTGCGCTGCTTAGTATTCATACGCTGTCGGAGTAAAACATCCGATGGACTGAAATGCTGGCCCTTTGTACGCCGTAAGGTCTCCCTCATATTCGCCACTCGGACAGTCCTTTGGCCACTGTACGAAAAGTATGACAGACAGATCAGAACATTCCATGGCGACAGGGTCAAGCGAGACTAACGAAACAATCGAGGGTCTCAGGATATTCCGTAAAGGTGATAGGGACGCGGCCCCCCACGCATTCCGCATCCACTTGACATACTTTGTATAACCCATCGGATAAATCTCTCGATCACTAGCGAGGATGTGCCCAAGGAGCACGGGTATCCGCGGTGGCAGCTGCGTCGCGCGACATTGACGGCGCGTGACGCTGATCGACGTGGGTATCCCATTCTATCAGCCCGCCCAGGGGTAGATGCTGAACTACTACCCTCTTGCCCAGAACTTCTGCCTAAATATGATTCAATGAAAAGGTCCGATACGGACAATAAAGGGTATCACCTCATACATCTTGAACAATCCATTATGAACTTTCCCCCAATTGGGAACCCCAACGGCGATTGAGTGAAGCTGAGAGGAGTGTTCGTAAAACGGACCATGTTTGACCTGATGAATCCGCGTAATGGACATGAAGTATAAGTTGCTTTGGGGAAGCGGGGGGTTTAAGACGGAAGCTACAGTAATATCCGTCTGGTCTGTGGTAAGAAGTCACATAAATTTTTTAGAAAAATGGACAAAATAAGAAAGTGGATTGTCATGCCTCGTAACTGCCCGCTTCCAAATATATATCCAAGGAAGGTGTAATCGTCGAGTCCCCAAACACCATGACTCCCTGCGGGCTCCAACTTGTAGACATCCTGCAGCTTCCAGCACAGTTGGAGATAGCGTACGAAAACGCTGAGGACCATGTGTCGCTCTTCATCTGGCTCAGGTTTTACAAAGCGTATAAGGGTTAGGCAAAGAAGGAAGATAGCGAATGATGATTCATGACCAGTGCCGTAATCCATCCTCAGGAACGATCCAAACGACGTGAGCAAGTAGGGCTTTAGATATGGAGAAGCGGAGGCGAACTTCTCGCCAAGCAATTTTGAAAGAAGCTCGTCAGAGCGCTAGAATGTTATCATTGCAGTGAGACATTGTCACCCATGTCCGATGAGACTCGCCTCCTCTAAGCGAGCACCCCATGTACGAAACGCAAGATTACCAAAGCGCTGAGGAGTCTGAAGGGGAGGGATTTCATCAACCCAGTCGCTCAAGGTATCCAGGAGAGCAAGTATTCGGTCGATTTCCTGAGAACGTGATGAATCAGATAATGATGACTCAATCATGATTGCGGACCTGGCTCTGTTTTGGGGGGTTCATTAGTGGAAGCATGTAGTCAACCACTGCCTCGCTCAGTCGGCGGAGGAACAACAAATAATCTGCATATCCCTTGGTGGATTTCCAGTCTTCCACATCTTGATCAGTGCGGATTTTCAATTCCGGAGGGACTTGCAAAATGGGCAGCTCAATCTGTCTCAATGGCAGAAGCCTAGTCTGTGAGTTTGGTGGCATATCGATAGCGTATCGTACGTTGTCGCACTACACAACAACGAACTCTGCAAATCACGCATCCATTACGTAATACGCGTTTCTCACCTGACATTTTGCCACGTTCTCACCCTTATTGAACGCGACTCCTGACGAGGACGGTTAACTCTAACCACATTGGCTCGGAACTGTAACCTGCATAAAAGGGTTTCTAACAGAAGACAACTCTATTCACATTACGATGCCTCCATTCGACAACTGGAACATCATTGACGAAGAAGAAGAACAAGAGCTACAGGACGCCACAGTGAGTGCTTCCTGCCAAGTCAGGACCGTCATCACCCAGAAGGCTCACCCCAATCTACCCTAGTTTTTCGAGGGGAAGCGTGATGTTATCCTCTTTTGTGTTGATTGCTCAGAGTCCATGCATGAACTTCGGGATGACCCCAATTACGAAGATGTCAAAACATCTCACCTGCTCACTGCCCTTGAAGCGGCCATGCAGATCCAGAAAAAGAAGGTCATAGTAGGCCCAAATGATTCTGTTGGCATTGTTCTATTCAATACAGTGAGGTTTGCGCTGTACCACATCGAGTCTTTGTTCACAATTGGTCATGGAAGACTCGCTCTTCTGAGACAAAAAATCACGCTACAGAAATCAAGAAGAACTCATTCGTTTATCAGCCCATTACGATCATAAGTGCCCCAGCCATCCAAGAACTTATTCAACTGTTAGATGGTTTGTCGTGTTGACTGTCGCGTAACGCTTGAAACTCAACAATGTGCTCCAAGCTGCTCGAGAAGATCCGAATCTACTCAAATCCACGTTTCCTCCGCTGAAAGGGAAGAAAATGCCCATGGGTGATGTATTCACGAGCTGCAACTGGGTTTTGCGTGACGGGTGAACATGACACAGTATAATGAACACGCAACATCACTTACCCTTTTCATTCAGAGCACCGAAGACAGCTTCAAAACGCGTTTTTCTGATCACAGATGATGACAATCCTCACCCAGGAAGCAAACAGCTTGTCACTTCAGCTCGAACCACCCTTCTAGTATGTCTATCTCTGTGCAAGTGCACGGATAGCTAATTCGAATTATAAGGATTTGACACAATCAGGGGTTCAAATTGAACCTTTTTTCATCGCCACTCCTGAAAAGCCATTCGAGCCCTCCAAATTTTACTCGGTAAGAAGCATCTTTACTGGTTCTCATGGTTGGCTAATGGTTTTCGAAGTCCGTCCTGTTGCCAAACGTATGGAATGACGAAGACGAAGATACTGGCGTCCTTCCTGAATCCATATCCATCACGCGTATCGAAGATCTTCTGTCTCAAATGCGTTTTCATGAGGTACCGAAACGTGCCATGTTCAGCATCCCTTTCCAACTAGCAGACGGATTTGTAATTAGCATCAAGGGGTTAGTGGTTCTTTTGTCAGCTTACTAGAATCTAACATACTTTTCTACAGTTACGGGCTGGTTACAGAACAGAGGAAAGGTACTTACAAGTACTTCGTTGACCTGGGCGATCGCATGGAAGTAGCCAATAGCCGTACGGTGTATGTCGACGAGGTGCTGCGTTAATTTAGTATGCTGTGATGGTGCTGATCATTCTCATAATAGGATCAACAAGCGGAAGTGGACAAAACCGAGATGCTCTATGGGATGGCTCTCGGTGGTGCCCCTGTTGAAGATGTCAGCGACGACGAAGGTGACGGTGTTGATACTGTTTGTAGAGCTGTTCCATCGGGGAAAAGAGTATGTGTCATCGATTCTCTTGTTTGACTGCCAACCTCGCATAGCCCTTTTATACCGCAGATGAGATCAAGTCTTTCCGCACGCTGGACCTTGAACCAGGTGTGTTGTGAATATCAGCCTGGAGGTTGTTTCTCACATAAAACAATTAGGCATTAAGCTACTTGGCTTCAAGGATCGTACAGAACTAGCCTTTGAGGACAACGTCAAACACTCTGTATTTATCTATCCTGACGAATCAGTGCGTTTGCTTCTTTTTTGGCTTGTCCCGAAATGACTAGGTAGTACAGAAATACTCAGGAAGCAAGCGCACATTCGCCGCTCTCCTGAAGAAAATGATAGAGAAGAAGAAGATCGGTCTTGTCCTGGCACTTACAAGACGTAACACTGCTCCGGTTTTTTGCGCAATGCTTCCGCAAGTAAGCTTCATATTTTTTATTTTTTATTGTGCGCCAATTGTGCCTTTGCCTAACTAGGCAGAAAGTGGCGAAGAAGGGGGATGGAACGATCCTGCAGGGTTTCATATTATCCCTTTGCCATTTGCCGATGATATTAGAGCAGCACCATTGGATCAAGCATTCCGAGGTATGCCTGGATATGTCGGATTCTAGCCTACAGCTAAATTACCGCATATAGCACCGGATGAGCTAAAGGATGCCGCACGAGTCTGGATTGACAAGCTATGTGTCAAGGACGGAGCATATCCACCGGACTCCTATCCTAATCCTGGTCAGCCAGAGTTCCTTCCGAGTTATTCGCTATAATGAACTTGACCTATGCTTGCAGCCCTTGCATATCATAATGCCCAGCTACAAGCAAGTGCCTTCCGTGAAGAATTTGATCCAGAAGCCTTTGAGGATCTTACACGTCCAAAATATGATATGATTCACAAGGTGCGTGGATTATATTCACAGGTAGGCGCTGTCCGATCTAAATTTGCACCAGCGTGCTGGGAATCTTATGAAGGAGTGGAAGAGGAGTCTTTTGACCGACGAATCTGCAAATATCGTACCGGTAACCACAGGATCCAAAAGAAAGGCTGTACGCCCACCTGTTAGTGTGACGAGACTGTCTGCTGATCAGATCATGCAGGACGTATCAGTTGACGAGGCGGAAATCCGCAGTAAACACGAGGTTGGTGCCTTGGCCAAGGTGGGTACTTTGAATAATGATCCGATTGAGTGCCTGATCTCAACATCCCTGCAGCTCCGTGTGGATCAACTTAAGGTATCATCTGGCTGTCCCTGACCAATCTTATGCAACCCACTCATTTCCTCCTAGGACTTTCTCAAGAGCAAAAGCCAGCCGGTGTCAGGAAAAAAGGCCGAGCTTATTGAACGTGTCAGCGATTGGCTGGATGCTCACTGAGCAATCACAGGTACTCTCACAAAGTAATGAGAAGGAAGTCGGCTTTCTTTCTTATTGACGGTTGTGCATCTGTGTTATGAATCAGCTTTCTAGGAAATTACTGTCGAATGCCTATATTCTTGTACTCGTACTCAGCTACATAATATCCTCGTATATACATGACGCTTGATTGCGTCTCAGCGTTGTCGCTTCGATGAGTGTCTCCAGAGTGCCCTTGTGTAGCCTTGAATGCTGGCACTTTCCGAGTTAGCTCCGATAACGCCATTTCAGATGATCAGTCATAATTTGATCTCACAGCACTAGTGGTCGTCTCAATCGATAGTCAGCTCATTCTTACTTTCACGCCTAACGGAGCAATCATCGATTCACCAGTCTCGCTCGATCAGCGAATCAATGTCTACACTTGAGAATCTCGTTGATATCCCTAGCACCCCACAATTTCAAGCGTTGCTCTCAAAGGATCTCAAACGTATATCACTAATCTACTTCTGGACGTCCTGGGCCGAGCCATGTGTACAAATGAACCAAGTGGTGGAAGGGTTAGCAAAGGCATACCCGGCACTACTCGCACTTAAGGCAAGTACTTGGGACCCTATCAGGCACCATGAGATTGACAACATGACACCAGGTAGAGGCAGAAGAGCAGGCGGATATATCAGACTCCTTTGACATCAACTCCGTTCCGACATGCTTGGTCATTCAGGTCAGTATTCTAGAAATCTCTTCCCTGAATATGTGACTAAGTGAACGTCAAAGGGCCATGCTTTACTTGCCCGGATTGAAGGCGGAGATGCGGCCCAGCTTAAGGAAGCGATCACAAAGCACTTGGAAAGCAATCCCTCTTCAACGAACTCTCATCCTCCTTCCCCTCCGTCTTCCGAGACAGAAGAACAATTAGAGGCTCGTATGCGCGATATCATGCATCAAAGCGCGGTGGTCTTGTTCATGAAAGGGGAGCCAAATGCCCCTCGGTGTGGCTTTTCTAGGAGTGCTGTAGCGTTGCTGAGGGAGAAAGATGTTACATTCACCCACTTTGACATTCTCAGCGACGAGAATGTGCGGCAAGGTGAGTTTAAGCAGGTTTTGAAATATATCAATTCAGTTGATTTTTGATTTGTGAATAGGTCTCAAGAAACTGAACGATTGGCCCACCTTCCCACAATTCATAGTTCAAGGCGAATTTGTGGGAGGATTGGATGTAGTGAAGGAGATGAAGGACTCGGGGGAGTTCGAAGCGGTTTTCTCTGCTTGATTATGTGGCTGGTGTGTACTATTGATAAAAATTTAACCCTTGACCAGGTGCTTCTCAATACCGTGTTGCTGTCATGCGATAGAAATGACATTAATTTGATTTGAAGAGAGTTTGAACTTTGCAAACCATGCGCATACATCGAATTCGAATCAACAAGCACGTCAGACATGTGAGTTAGCTTCATACTTGGATGATTATTCTCACAAGAGGAGTGCAGTGCCAAGAGAAGGTCGCTTATCCGGTGAACAGTTCGGTAAACGATCCCTGCAAGTCGGAGACTACGAACACAAGTCATGAACAGCGCCTCCCGCATATCGCCGGCCATTGCGCTTAATCACCTCATTCTAACCAATGTGCTTATGCCTTGCCTGAAATATTTTTGTTCCTGAACGGGTTCCTCCAAACAACTCACCATTTCAGATCATTCGATGCTGCAAGCATGCATCTGGGATCGATGGACAATTCACCACTAGGACCTTAGCGAAGGCATTTCATCCTTTAGGCCATGTAACCTCGCGGTAAGGTTACACGTTTCGTATCATTAATGTTTACAAGAGTTCCGGCTTGAAAGGATGAAAGTGTCACAATCTTTGTCTTGGGATGACACAGACCACGGAACAGAGAAATGAAAATATCGATACTTCAGTCGTCCTCCGTTGGATTCGCAGGTCTGCATGGCCGAGCTGTGGGGCTCAGCTGTGTGATCATTCAATTACGTACTCAGTCCCTCTGCAATTGGTGGAGTAATGATGACCTACCAAGTTGGTAAAGTGGAGCCATGTTGACGTAATTAAGCATCCCCCTTCCTCGAGGCATTCGCCATCAAAGAGGCTTCGGACTTTGATGCAACTGTATATAAAAAACGTAGAAAATGTCGTATAATTTTGCTGAAAATACCAGCTGGGTTTCAGAATTTTCAGTCAATATTGGAGGATGTTGTGTATTATGTAATTATGGTGATCGCGTGACGTCACGCGATCAGTAATTCCTGATTGATAAATAGAGCTAAATATGCGATAACCATTACCAAACCATTACCCCTGCGAATTCATCCCAGCCCTGTCGCCTCAAGGCCTAAAGGCTTTCACCCCGGCTGCGGTCGGTGTCTATATAAAGCATTGCATTATCTTGGGTTTGTCCGTGACTTTCTCGTTCTCAATTGCATGTCATGACCCGTCATCCCATTGACAATCGCCACAGCCTGCATCCGAGTCATCAAAGTCCGCCAAGCCTCACTTGCCGTGTCCTCTTACTCCTGGACGTGCAAGTTTGTATGCTCAGCAGCCGAAAAGAAGGCGGCGTCCCCTCTTCTGAAACTGTTTATCGGAATATTGAACACATTCTTGACCGTGCTCGCTCAGCAAAGCAGCCACCTCGCATCATTCATATCCGCAACTCCGGAGAGTCAGGTGATCCAGATACACCGAACTCCCCCGGCTGGCAACTCGTTTTTCCAACACTTGAGCACGAGTTCGTTATCGACAAGTTGAAAAATAACGCATTTGCTGGAACAAGACTCGCAGAACTTGTACCACGTGACGCTGAACTCATAGTCGTCGGCATGCAAAGCGATTACTGTGTGCGCGCTACTTGTAGCGCAGCCTTGGGTAGAGGAAACACTGTTATCTTGATGAAGGAAGCACACGCAACCTACGATCGCATTGAAGTATGGAACGGTGGCATGGTTACAATCGCCCGTGATGTGGAGTTGGAAATAGAGGCGGAGTTGGAGGAGGCTGGGGTCAACCTACTGTGCATGTCGGATGTGCCGCACTTATTCAGCGACCGGTGACATGCATTGGCGGGAGTGATCGCTGAGAACTTTCGCCCCCTTTCCGGCCATCATGGTAGTTTGACATTTGCATTGTGAGTTTTTCCTTGGTCCACGCCTCGTACTTCAACGAGGAGAGCTGATTACTCACAATAACTTAAAGCTTTACTCCGTTGGATATTGGTTCCCGTTCAGAAGCTCCTGCATGGCTGGCATGATGGTTTGGATGATGGCCCTGTCACGGTAGTGGGCATGTTGGTCATCAGTTTGGTATCGATATTATTGCTTTGTTAAATACTTACAAAAATATGATAACTAAATGTCACGTGAGTACGATTAAATAACATCAAATAATTTGCTCCGTCGCAGCCAGCCGCGAGTAGGATTCGAGCCCAGCTGCGTACCATCAGTTGTCGCGTCTGCAACTTTCCACAGTTCTTAATTTAACCTCAAGCTAATCACCCTCCACGTAGTGACTCACCGATAAGTCTAAGTTTTCACTGCCAGGTGTCTGAGTTCACAAACATGTCCACGTTAACCCAAGTTGATCCATACAAGCCGCTGGCTCTCAGAACGGTGCTTTCATCTCTCAATCCGAAGCTACATCGGATTGACCTAAAGTGTTTAATTTCAGAATCAGCGAGTGAAGCTCAGCACCGATGCACCCTTCACTCCCACGTATATCCAGGCATCGCTCACACAATCAGGAGATCCACAAGGAATATACACGAGTCGTGTTAAGAATAGGCACATCGTTCTGGAAAACCCTGCTCGCGCGAGCAACGTACAGAAAGAACACGACGCAAAGAAAGGAAGAAGGAAATCGGAAAAGAAGAAGAGGAAAATAGTTGCGCTAGGACGGAGACCCACAGACGCAAAAGGCCTCTGGAAGCTTGAGAATGGGGCACAAAAGTAATTATCAGGATTCGAGTGCCATTCACTTGTCTGCTGACCATCGATTTGCAGATTTGATCTATTCCTCCCACTCCATCAGTTGTGGATGGGATACATGTCTGAACTTTTAGGGCTTCCGCCTCCATCTTCCGTTCCAGTTGCCGAAGCAATGCCTAGCGCATCATCAATGCACCCAAAGCTGGTAAAGGCCGACTTTCACGGTTCTCTATTAACAGGTATTTAAGTTCAATTGTTATTCGCTCATATACTCACATGTTCTGTTCACTTCTCAGTTCGTCAGAGCAAGAATCCTTGTTTAGTCGGCTTGTCTGGTATCGTGATCCACGAAACTGAGAATGCTTTCAAAGTAATCACTCGCACAGATCAACTCAAACGTGAATAAGTACTCCCATTTCTTGCTTTCAGTATAGTTGTAACGCAAAGATTCAGTGATCCCAAAACAAAACTCAATCTTTACGCTGGCGGTTCCCCTATACTCTACATTGCTTCAAACGCAATTCGAGCCAGTTGAAGCAGTCAGTTCCGCGTTGAGTGGTCAATATTCAGGAACTGTCCTGGATGCTCCGCATATCGCTTTCGACTTGTATGGCAATCAATTCTGTTTTCGATCTGCAGATCGTGCGGGTCGGAAGTTCAAGGCAAAGGAAACAATCGAGTTATAAATTACTCTCAAGGTCGAAGACATGGGCACCTGATAAGTGTCTTCTCAACTACGATAACTGTTCCGCGGTATTTCTCCTGCATCGCACGTCCTCCGATACACTGTCAACCAGATCCAGCTTGGTATACCTTTCCCCAAGCGAGTTCCTGGAATCTGCAGAAGCATTTGGAGTCAGAGATAGCAAGTAAATGTAGGATAGCCATACTTGTCGTACAAAGATAGCACACCCGCGCCGGCCACACCACGAAGGACATTTGCGCCTGCCCCAGCTTCCATCGTGCGTGTCAGATCGTTAACTATTGCTTCAGCGCACTTGACCTACCGAACAATGACCTTACACCTTCTTTGGCCACGATATGCCTTCCGGCCTCAATAAATGACCTGTATTGTACCTACACCCATTGATAGGTCGAGACGTGCTCGGTATATGAGGAAGATGGTCTACCTTTTCCCCGGACGTCATCATCATCCGTCTCCTGATGGTGTCAAGTGGGTATGCAGCCAATGCCGCTCCCTAGAGACTTATGTTCAAGGCCAGCGTAGCTATATACTTGTCGACTCACTGTCGTGCACATCCAGCCCACAGCAAAAGATGCAGCAAAGTTACCTCGCAAATTCCCTACTAGCAACGTGTCTCTAATTGTGTCGTACCCTCCAAAGCTGTTCAAAGTGTCATTAAATATTTATGCCGCAGCAAGAATTGTAAACGCACTAGAGACCTCGGTACACACAGATGCCAACCACGCTGGGCACAAATCCTCTGTACAAGCCAACAACCCCGTCGGCACGGAGGGTCTGCCTGTATACATCAATCAAACCAGAAAATTGGCGTTGGCCTCCTTTAGCGGAACTCTTGCCGTCGGCAGATAATCGTGTGCGGGCGCTGCATCATTATGATGTGCATGTCTATCTGTATTCCGCAACGTCATGGACGTACTAGTCAAGGGAATACACGAATACGGAGGAGGATGCACCAGCAGCTGCTCCACTGGCGATGTTTCCTAACAACTCGTTTCAGTCATTTATTCGAAGACTCAAAGGAACCTTTTGCATACCAAGAACCCATAAACCGAATTGTTCTGATTTTTTGAAACCAAACATTTGTTTGAAGGTGTCCTTAAATGCAAAATTCAGGGCCTGAGTAGGGAAGTATCTCAGCACATTCGTCCCATTGCCCCTCCACACTGTCCACATTTGAGAATGAAGATCATGAACGGTCATACTATGAAGTCCACAACGCACGGCTGATAGCCCCTTCTTCCGAGACCGTCCGCTTGAAGCAGTCAGTGATGCCCTTGTAGGGACGGTCGAGCCTTCCGGAAGCAATCATAGCTCCCTGGTTCTGTATAAGAAGTTTGACGCGTTCAATGGGAGCGGCTGCAGTCTTCGATATAGCAGCTGCGGTACCTCCCATCATGAAATCGACTGATTGGTCGAGTCAGTGAGGACGTTGACATCAGCGTGAAAGGCATACCAAAGAAAGCGGTGGCATCGGTGGGTTTTGTGCTGGTCATTTTGAGGAAGACTTCCTTCTCAAGACTAGTCAAACCGGTGAATACTTCATTAGCTCTCCACATCGTGCTTTTATAGATTATCAATGGCTACTAACGCATCAAGGCTATACGGAGAAGGCTATACGGAGAGGGCTGGCAGTGCTCATACCAATGTCATGTTCCGCATTCTTCCGAGCTGGCTGTTTATGCATTAGCATCTCCAGATGATGAAGATGTGATTTTGGTGTCACTTACGGTACTAATTCACAGTCGCACGTTTTTGAACCTGTGGTCAGGTTAAAATTAGCAGTGATGGCTGGCATGAAGCCTACAAATACGAGTCATTGTAATTTCCTACGCCGGGCTGGGTGATGCCTTTCGGCCGGAGCTGCAGAGATAGCGATGATTTGGAATACACAAGATGAGGTCAGTGACCAGGAGCCATCCGGTAGTTACCGATGGCGTTCCTTCCGAATCCGACTGACAGCTCAAGCTTCTTGGTTCAAATCGGCAAGCTTGGAGAAACCAGCTAGTGTCTATCATCGAGCAAATTCCATGGACTCTCCCTCTACATTTGCTCTTGTCCCATTTATGAAACCCGAGTGACACAAGCAACTTTTGCAAAACCATCATCGAACACGACTGTCATTGGCTTCAACGAGAACGTGCATATGGCCATGCAAAACGCTGGGACATCCTCTGTGACTTGTGCGGAGCAGGCCTGACAGAAAATAGAGCAGTTAGCCACGAAGTAGGACAAGTGGATCGAAGCTCCATCAAGCGTGCACGGCGTGGATCCAACTAGGGTTCTAGGACTTGATGCTAAAGAACGCTCTCGAAACCGGTGGCAAAGTCTCCGAGCGTTATACCACTTGTGCTATTTGCGTGCATCCAGAGACCCGTGAGCAAGTTAAGGTTTAGTTTCTCCTATGGCCATGTAAGTTAGAACCTATAAGTTGACATCTGACATGGTCAGATATTAATGCGATTTCCCCCTTGGTAGTCGCAGCTGGATCCCACCAGCGATTAGACCTGATTTCTGGTCAAGCCACGCCGACTATTGACGACACCTATGACACCGTTGTAAGTGCCATTCCAGAACGGCGTAGCGGATTTAAGAGTGATGTACATCCTACTAGTATAAAAGTGGCTTCTGGCGTTAACTCCGAACAGGTTAATAGACGATGCGGTTATGGATGCGTGGTTCCGGGTCTCTGATGGAGCACATACTTGCCAGTGTCGATCAGAATTCGGTGAGCTTCAATGGAGCGCACGTTCTGAAACGGGGCGTCGGTATTTTCACCGACCCAGTAAGAATCTCTCCGCGGTTCGCATTAATTATGACCCACAAGTTGGATTGTGGAAGCAGATACTAACATGGTGCTCGAACACAGTATCCATGATAAGTTTGCCAAGCTAAAGGTATACCTCAAACAGGCGAGATGACACTGCAGGCTTGCATCCTCGCAATGCCGTTTTGGCTCCTGCAGCGGCTTACCACTAACTTGTGGAGTTACTGACAGAAGGATTCGCTCGCCGCGCCAAGATCGACAGGTGTCTATTGTTCAGGAGAGCAATCGATTCGACGTCACAATAACTTGCAACAAAATATGTATACACACCAACGAAAATAAGTGTTCTCTCCCCAAAAAAAGTTGCTGGAGATATGAATGAATGAAGGTATGCGACGAAACAAGAACGAAAAGAAAAATAATTATATGAACGAAGAGATGCTATGTGGTGGTTGCATGCGCACAGAGTACAAATGTCATGGTATGTGTACATCCGCGGGACAAAAATTTTGAGGCATGATGTTGCTGACGAAAGTGCTTGTGGTGATATTGAGGATAAAAATGACATTGTTCATAAGAATGAATCATTCGTAGAGTCTGTCGATATGGAATGAGGACCGCGATCAGCGCGATGATTTTAGGAAGACATACCGGAACTCAATAACATGTTACCTATATGTTACATAGTTTTATGATGACAGGGATGCGCTTAAGCTATCACACAGTATGAGCCTCCGCTGCTGCTACTGGATTCCTCATCCGTAGGCACCGAGGTAATAGGTGATGACTCCTCAAACTGAGAAGTCGTGAAAAATGCAGTGATAGTAGTGAAGGCGTCCATGAACGCAGAATGGCTTTTGAACGGAGTCGAACAGTACCGGCGCAATTGCTCTGAGGGTCGAACACGGGTGAATAAACCTGGGCAAAAATAATAAATAATCATGACATTTTATACGTTCGCAACGGTCCATCGCCAAGGCAGATCAAAGTTTGCTTGTAGACACAAAGTTTACCGGAAGCGTGTAGCGAAGTTCCGGTTCAATTGTCTTCTGCAAGCCTCTGAAGCTTAGGTAATCGAAGCAGATCTCTCAGCCTATCAGCATAAAAACAATAAGAATCACTTGAAGGGGACCCGTGACCTGAATTCAAGTCAATGTATTGACAATAAGCTGATATCGGTGAGAGTGTTCCAACTAAGGAAGTGGACAACTGACCCGAAATGAAAAGCAGCTCAGTACATAAAAAGCATGCAAAACTCACCATTTCTACGCGTCGGCGCTAGGACTTAGCACATGTCGAATAACCTGTGAGATCTAGTTGCCACTAGTACTATCCTGACGCTGAGGAGCACAACATCGCGAGAGAACGAGGTATGCATATATAATTATATATATCGAAAGGATATTTATCGGCCCAGCATATTAACTTCTACTAGTAGTACATGCTGAAATAATGGCAGTATTGAGCGACTTCGCCATGCTGAAATGGCCTGTTTTTCGTCTTGCCTGTCATTGGGTCACTCTAAACTTCATAGTTCAGGGACCGGGCGGCAGGTACCAGGTGGGATTTAAGTTGTGCGCAAGGTCTTGTGAGAAAGTTCTTTGGCAGACACAATGTAAAACATACGGAAAACCACATATTATCATCCTGACTTGAATGAACCTAGGCATTTTTATCCCCTTTATGTCTTGGACAGTGGGGGACTTGTAGCGTCAACCTTACTCCAAAGAAAGTCTCTGATGGTTGTCATTAAATGCTGATCTCATAGTATGCAGCTGATCTCAATCCATGGACATTGATGTATTAATGATAACATCGATAGGTACACCGGTTTCTAATGGGGTTCCAGGTGTGTTAAATAGATCAAACAATCTCGTGTGCGAATTAACTGACAATACACAGAAAACAATAAAGTAAAGGGATGAGCCATGATTGGTTGCTGATCAAGTTACGTTGTGGAGGATAGCCGTCATGCCGCTGCTCGGTCACTCCGTGTCTTCATGAAATTTGCTTTCCACTGGCGCGGGACCAGCTTCGCCGTTCTTAGGCATAGAGCCACGTTCGTCGTGCTCACTAGGAGCTTGACCCACAGTATTAGATGATTGATGGTCATGTGGAGGTCGTCCTTCGGGTGCCTTTTCCTGCTGACGCCTGCTTGGGCGTGACAAAGCCATGCTGTCGTCGTGGCTTATCGACGACGCTCGTTTGTCTGGCTGAGCAGAAAGATCATTAGCAGACACTTGGACCAAAATCAAGATACTTACCGCGTAGCCATCTTGATGTGTACCATTGAAAGAGTTTTTGGCGGGGTTGGAGTAAGAAGGCGGAGTCTTATGATCCTCCTCGTCATCATCAACAATAGCGTCAGCGTCAGCATCTTCATACTGATCATCCTCATCCTCATCTTCCTGGTCCTGCTCAACGCTAGATCCATCCTCCTCGTCCTCTTCGTCGCTGATATATCCAGCGGAACGGACTGCCGCCTCGACTGGACCCCCGCGGTCCATTTGCTCGCTGGCGACAAGATAACGGGCACATAACATTCTGACATCATTCCACCACTCCATCATATCCTCATGACTACGAGAACGGAATGACCAAGCGTGTTGGCCACCCGTCATAGGCAATTTGAAAGAGCCATGTTTAGTGGTACCCGTACCATCTTTGCGACCCTCGATATGGAACTTGTGAGACTTTGAAGACGGCGTTGACGGAGGGCCAAGTGTGCACGCCGGAAGGAATAATGAAAATACTGGAGTTTGACTGCCTGACTGAGATGGGTCAGACGTCGCAAACTCGTGCAAGAATCCTGCGGGAGTGAGGACATAGTAGGCCTCGCGATAGGTCCTCGTAAACCTCTTCTTGCGTTCAAGATGTCCGTTATGCACGGCTATGACCGAGGTGTCTTCTTTCGAGGGGTACTGAATGGTTTCTGGATTACGCAGAGGGGTCTCGGGATCAAGAAGATGGTCAGACCTGGCTGAAAATGATATCCACTCCCGGTCGGGCGCAAGTGAGACCATGTTTCGACCCATAGTATGCCACGTATCTTGCACCGAATTAGTCATTCGAGATCGCCACTCATCATAAGTTTGCCAAGCCGACTGAATGGCGCGTACAATTCCTTCCTCGAAGTGGGCAGAATTCTGTTGCATTATTATAATGGATTTCTGAAGAGCATTTTCTTCATGAACTTGTTTTTGCAATTGTCTCATGACTGCTATGTTGGCAACATAACTGCGACACGTCAAAAGTGCATCTCATCGCAGGAAGCCTTGAAGTGCTCACGGATCAGTCTTATTAGTCACGCCCATCGGGGTATTCTTGAAAATGCTGACACTCGTTGCCAGTTCACCGATCATTCTTCCGGATAGCTCGCGTTCTTTGGCAACACTGGTGGCCAATTTACCAGTGTCGTTTTGAACATTCTGGCCGAACTCAGGGTGTGATACGTACACTATTCAGGTAGAGTACGCACCTTGATGTGCGCTTTAATTTCCGCGTGCAGTTTTTGTAGATGTTGCACGATGGAGCTATCGACGGTCCGACCCAGGTTTGCATGTTGGTCGGCAATGGCGCGTGTTTTGTCGCGAATGCCATAATATACGTCCTGATGCATTGTCTGAGAGATACAGTGGATCTAGCAAGGATCCTCATACCTGTAGGCCTCCTTCGCCTAGAAATTGATTTCCTGAGCGGAAAGGTACTTGAATTACTGCGCCAAGCTTCGTGTATTCCTTGGCGATGTTGTTCTCGATATCGGCGACGCCTTCAAAGTAACTGATGAGTTGCTTCACAATAGCTTTCCAGGAGACAAATCGCTCGATAAGAATATCGGATGGGCGGAGATCCTGTGGAGCAACGTTTTTCTTGATGAGAGATTGATTGCGCGACGAGGCTGTCGAGCCGTGCTTGCTGGCACGCGAAAGAGAGGTCGCACGGGATACGGTTGTAGCCTCGTTAAACATCATGCACCAGAGCTCAAGAAGAGAGATTTAATGGAGTTTTGAATTCTAGTCTGCTTTATTATGCAGTTATTACACGGAATTTGACGTCATCTAAACAGGATATGTGACATATTGTCACAAGCGCAGGTATGTCACATAATGCTGTCACGCCGCCTTCCAAGCTTTACCCGGACTCTCAAACTCTTCAAACTTCATTTTCGAAGGACTACCTAGTCAACACCAAAATGAACTCCGGAATACAGAACATCGTCATTTCCCTTGGTGCGATGCAAGGTCAGCATATACCATCTCATCCCGGAGGCTACTGACTTTCGAAACTCGTGTGACGTGTTCTCAGTTGCCCGTCGGATTCCATTCGATGACCCGGAGGTTCTGAACTATGTGCGGATAGGTTATGTTACAAGTCAAGTCATCATCCTGGGTGCATACTTCTTTGTTTCCTACAAGGTTAGCAGGATTTTTTAGAACACATACGTGGCATCTGAATATGTGCGATAACACAGGTCAGGCAGAAGAATGACCAGACCGTCTTGAAATATGGTCAGTCCGTATCTTAAAATTTCCTCGTTGTATATCTGAGCGTTTGTACCAGTCGATGCTCAAAATCCCATGGTAACATTCCATTCATATGGCAAGCAGAACACGTTAGGCTCACATGGTATTAGTCGCCCGACTCTGGAGGACTTGTGACTACGACGGTCCGCGACTATGACCTGTCCGAAACGTCGAAACTTGTACGTCACTTTTTTGAAAGAAAGAGGAGTTTGGGTTTATTCTGCAATTTTTATAGCTTCGCGCTGCGTACTTTGGTGTCGCCATGATGGCCTTCTTCCATCTGTACATGAAGTACACCCAGCCTCTCTTCATTCAAGCCCTCATGGGTTTGAAGAATCTATACGATGCAAAGCCTGTTGCTATTCACATTCTTGGGAAGCCTGCAGAAGGTGATCTCAAGAGACCGTTCAAGGCTGCATCAATGTTCGGAGGCACGTGAATTTTCCTACGTACTTGTCATGTCACTCAATGAACTATTGTGTTCTCAGCTGCCGCTGGTCCTCAAACAGACGCAGCATCAATTACGGAAGCAGAAAAGAAGATTGGTGCAAAGAAGGAGGATTAGAGTCTATACTTTATATTCTCTTGCTATACGCGACTTGGATATCTATATCACTTTCCGTGACTTGTCAATGTGGTACAACATACCCACTATCTGTCATAGAGATTTCGAAGGACGGGACACGGCATCATCTTGGGATATGTGAAATATCTATGCAATAGAATCGGTGTAGAGCATTATGACATGCTTTCGGCGATAAATAATGTGGTGTCTAATGAAGGTTGTATCCGACGATGCTTCTCCGCCCGACAATTTCTCCAATCTGTCGACAGTTAATAATTGTAACATCATAAGCCAGTGTAAAACAAACCTTGAAGATACCGTATGCTTCCACAGCGTATATGGCAACCTTGACCCACTCCCCGGAACTGAGTATCCCTCGCCAATATGCTTGGCTGCTAGCACGATTCCATAATGTTGAGTATGCGCTTCTTACTACTGCAAGGTCGGTGGGAGGTTGCAAACGCTCCGCCACATAAACCTGCTTCAACAATTCGCGTGCAACGGACAAGTTGTACATCACAGGTTGACGGTATGCTAAACACAAACAGAGCCGCATCAATGTTTGCAAAGAATGAAATCACGAAATGACATACATCCAAGCATGCTTCCAGCACGCTCACCGAGGGGACCAAGGAACTTTTTTGAGCTCTCCCAAAGCTTTTCCGCTGTCTTTTGGGCGGACCCGAGCGCGTCCTGGGTTTTCTTCTGCGCTGTCTCCGCGTTTGAGCTGGCGAAGCGTGAATACTGAGATGGTAGACGGCGGGGACGAGCAGCCTGTCTGAAGGCAGATGTCGAGAGTGTAGACCGCATTTTGGGTGTCTCCGAGCAGGTTGAGTAAACTACTGGAAGGAATGTCACGACACGGAGGCCAACGCTGAGGAAATAAAGAGGGTGGGAAATTTGGCAGAACTATTCTTACCCGGATATGTCCGACGCGCTTTACGACTCGAACACAACTTGAACAGGTATGCAGAAAGCATTATGTGACGTTTTGTGCTCATTGTGCAGACCTTCATATACCTAAAAATATTCCACACTGTGATCTCCATTTGATCAGAGTTCTTGAAGCTTACAGAATAATTTTGCCAGTGATTCTTCGAATTAATCTAACAACTGTTAGGTCAAACTGGAAAAAGAAAACAATGCAAGACAGCACGTCTTGTCCATTTCGACAATGAGTTTGATCTCGTGCGTCATGCCTGCCGTTAATCCTCTATCATGCAAGTTAACTGTCAACTGTCGACCCGCATGTGTAGGCGCACAATGGTCGAAGCGACGCAGCTCACAATTCCTAGTCAAGTGATTCAGCTGGTGCGCTTCGTGATTCTCGCAATCGTGACAGAGCACCCTGAACTTTTCTAAAAGGTCACCGTGCTAAGCGTTAGTATGAGATCCATTCTTGGCGTGGGGTATTCATCTACCACGCGTCTGGTTTTGTAAGAATTCTGTCGTATTCGAGATGTCGACCAGCGTAAACCAGGATTGGAAATCTGCTCTATCTGCTTTATGCAGCTCGTGGAGCTCGAGCAATCCTGAATGCTGCTGCATCAGCTTCTGGACTATTCCTGATCCCTAAGATGACAGGTACGTGGGTGTATTGCATCATAACTGTAGCTCACGATCACTCACGATCACTTTAGGAATAGACCGGTGAGGTTAGTGCTTTTTTACTTACTCTCACGGGACCACCTTCTTTAACCACCGCTGTATCCCTTTCAGTCCACGTTCTTCGCAGCATCTCAAGACAGCATCTCAAGAATGTTCCATTGATTCCATACCATCTCGACATAACGAGGCTTCGGCCGAATGTGGTAATGCATGAACGTTGCTTCTTCCTCTCGGGAGCTTACGAGATATAATCTTTTCCAGTTGTCTAGACTCTAGATTTATGCTAACGACGTCTAATTCTGTGATCTCCACATGAGGATATATTGAGAGGCATGTGGGATCACGTCATTCGCTACGGAAGAGATGTTCCAGTAGATGAGGTCCATTAACTTTGTCCAGGTCCCGCTTGTGTTCACTCACTGATGCCATTGAAGGGATCCTCGTTCCTACATAGCCATCTCGATATCTCACTCCCCACTCCATATATTTGGACATAATCCAGTCAGAACCCCGTAGCCGATGTCAAGTAATCAATGGATATTGGTAATGCCCACCCGTGGAGCATCAAGGGAACTTGGTGGATTGCGAGACGTTCCAAACGATGCTATACATTGAAATGACAAGTTCACCTTGTAAGGTACGCGAGGTGAGTTTTAGAAAATTCACACCGTGAAACTTGAATCTCCTGTGTCCATCCGTCGCAGTTTACGGAAGCGTTTTACACTAATCCACAGTGCACAGTGCAAGGATATCCGATGCAACACAGAGTATCCAAGGCATGGTGTTCATCCCATCGATAAATGTATCGATAGGTGCTACAAAGGACAAGATACTCTTATTTGTCTGATAAGCCTGATGTACCTAAGCATCTATTCTAGAGCTTGTTTCTGCTTGGTATTACGCCAGCAAGTGCGCACACGATCGACATAGCTAAGGAGATCACAGGGAGAAAGATAAACAATTTTCTGGATTGCTGATACATGGCATGTAACCGGGTGATCACTGATCATGGGGACTCGCATGATATTTCGTCAATATCGGTTAGGCCTCCTTGCCTCTTATCCAATTCATGTGAGTGCTGGAAAAATGATAGGCGAATCTCTAATACGCTTGCTCAAGCCAATCGTATACCACCGCAGCTGCCGACACGACACCGATGTCATTCGACCAGCTGTCCACGAACCTCCGACTCCGGTCATTTTCGAGGGATGAGTGTGAACGAGCGGTGAACATGACGGTCGTTTTATCCATGTTGGATATGCCTCCATCCGGTACCTTACTATCGCTAAGATGAACACCGTCGACATGGGAATTATGCCTTGATTGACCAAAGTTGTGAATCTGCAAAGCGGTCATAGATGTAAACACCGCAAAAGCTTTCCGGCGACTCATTCTCAATGTCATCCTTGGGTGTTCTTGCCATGATTGCCTTGATTCAGGGGTTCTGTCAAAGATTCCACGGATTTTGTCGACCTAACATATAACCGGCATATGTGCGATGCGGCCGCTTGCATAATTCTCAGTGAGCCTATTGCAGTCTCACATGTAGGTCACAACAAAACAGAAGAGGTTGAATTACAAGGTCGCTTGTTTCGGTCAATCTCTAAAATGCCTCAAAGTGCCGCTGTCCTATTCCCTGTCGCCTCAAGCCACCACCTCGCTCTCTCACAGCCATGGGGTCATGGTGTCGCACGAGGGCATGGACAGATAGTTTCTCACTTCATATGAAATGTATCCGTGAGATTTAGAACCTCGGACCTTCAGGTTTGGAGAGAGCGATCCTGATGATTGTTCAGGTGCCAACAAATCTCACATGAACCCTCCGGACCAGACATGTATGGTATACAAGGCCCACTCCCTAACGGTAGCGGGAACTATGTAAGTGGCCTGCTTAACCGTTGCTTTGTCGCGAGAATGCATTGCAAATATTCCATGTCATGATGGTGCCTTCGTCGAGTCTATCGTTCTCCACATGGCAGATGCTAGGCAATACTGTCAATCTTGGTGTGTGAATTGCTTCTGTCACTCACTGGCTGCAGGCATCATCTAGCCATCGGGAGAGCCAAAGCCCGGGTTTGAGGTTCCTGATTTGACGACCAATTTATGCTGTTACAATCTTTCTACTTGGTATGTTTTACACATCCAAGTACAGTGCTGCGTAGTAATGCAGAAGAACAATCCAATCTGTTCAAAACTCACAACCTGAATGGCGAGAACAAGATGGCATACATTTGAGAACGTGGCCGAGACAAGAAATCTGATGTTATCTAATGATCTGTGCTTAGTAAATCTCAGGCCATGCAATCATTGATGATAATGCTTGTCAGTTCGAGTAGCTTGTCTAGAGCCGCTACATGATCATCTGAAAGGGAAATTTCAAAAACCACGCATCTAGAACATGAACGGTGCCAGGGAAGGTTTGTGGGAGTAGGGATATCATAATTGATTTGACTAGATCTTTGTAAGCAGACAAGGGCTTTGAAGAAGTTACAATGAAATATGCCTCGCAGGTGTCATCTAAGTTGGCGATATCAAAACTGGCATGAGGGATCTCCAGAAAACCGAGGGAAAGTGCGCCACGAGTGATTTTGGAATACGTCGGTATCACAAGCGATGGTTGCATGCCATGCAACAATGCCTTTTAAGTGCCGCAAGAGTAAGGTTCGCGACCCAAATCGTCGGACTTATCTGAATTATACAAATCTACATTAAACATAAGCAGTGCGGCACCACAATGGGGGATGAACTTACCTGCAGGATACCAACATAGAATAGCAACGCATCATCAAAATCGGTAGTGAATTTGTTGAATTTTGAGGCGAGCGTTATCTTTATCAGCAAAGTCTTCACGACGCCAGCGCAACAATCTGAAACTTTCCGGTAGCCCTCTTAAATCCCACTGTGCCCCCTCGCTCTACATTTTCTGGGCCTCAGCCGCATGATATTCTAGCGCCATGATGAGGTGACCGAGAAACTAAGCTCATGAGTACATTGTCTTGCTGGAAGCTTCCAAGTGGATAACTTGATTGTCTGATGAGCCTTGCTTGCGCGTACATCTTTGTCAGGAAGTATGTGTATTAATGAGCACTAATGAGGAGCGCCAAGCCAGCGCATTTCGGAGAGTTCATTGGACGCGGGCGTCCAGTCAGCTGACTTTTGGGCCATATGCATATGACGTGTCTTCTGGTAGAGGAAAGTGCACATGAATTGTTTACAACGATAGTGATTAATGATAAATTCGCAGAGAGTGGCGTGGTTGTCTCGTAGGATGCAAGGATAGTCCAGATCTCCGAAATGTGTTCGTTGAGGGAGATGCTGTCATTGCTAATGATGATCAGCTTCGGCCAATATTCGCACCTGTTCACAATTTCTTGAGGTGATTTTTGAGATTTAATCACTTCTTCGAACTTTGACTCAGTTATGGGTGAACGAGGAAATTCTAGGTGGCTACTAATGCCTGAAACCTCTCGTTGACACCATCATGGACGCTGGCGATTATCGCCGCTATACCTCCCTGTACTCCAGGTCCGAAAACGTGACCTGAGGTGAGAAGATTAATAAAATGACGCAGGGAAGGAACAAGCTGTTCCGACGATGACCCGTGTTTACCCAAATGGTCCCAAGAGCTAGCGCTCAGACGTACATCTCGACAAGGGCAAAATCTCAGGGATTATCCAGGATGTTGCTATCTATGAAATGAGCTAAGGATGACATCGAACGATGATATATAGGCTGGCCGCAAGTTAAGGCGGATAAGCAACTTTGAGAAAAGTTCAAGGTCGAGCCTCGGCAACTGCCGTTCGTCCTCGTCATCCAACCTATCGCTCGTTATCGCGTCGCTAATCCTAATACGGGGCGGTTGGTCTATTATCAGGTGACCGGTAAATGATATTGAAGTGATCCACTTGCGTACGAATGCCTGTACGTATGTCTACCATCCGTCACTTGACTGACCAAAGTTTGTGTAGCACTGGCAGGTGACGCCTGTCTGGTGCTCTTACTCGAGTCACTGGGCCGTCGTGTTTCCTCGGACGTCCCGCCAATCTTAAGCTCAAGCATGCATTTTTGGAATTCGGCTTCTACTACGATTACATCCCAGAAGCACGATGAGTTGGACCACCCACGAGTCTTGTCTATGGAACCCTCCGCCGCGCGCGTGCTTTTGCTATCACATTGAGGGCTATCCTTTTCAAATTTTCCTG